GTTTTAAACAGGAAAAAGAAAAGCCCTCTGAACACCGAACTGAAGCTGAGCTCACTCCACTTTTGAGTGAGCTTTCCCTTCATTAAGATATAATAATGTCTCTTCCTGCCAGTTGTTGTGACTCGGTTCTCTCTTACAAGACAGCCACTTCTAGAGAAACTTAATCTTTGGTGTGTGTTGTAGATGTGCCTTCATTAGATGTCACACTGTACAAATCTCGTCTCTTGCTTTTTCCTGCTGTTTATTGGGAAGAGGTTTTTTGATGCTGATCATGGCACAGCAGGAGGTTTCAGCTCCCTTGAGCTACTCAAATTCTTCTCAGATGATCATTAAAATACTGGTTATCACCTGAGCATTGCTGGACCACTTAACTTCCGAGTAATCACCTTTTTCTTCTCCACCCTGACATGCTGGCTGCATTATCAGTTTATCTGATCCATTGTATACAACAATAAATACCTTATAAATTTTCCAGCCTGGATTAAATCCCTATTTAACAGTTCTATGTCCCAATTAGTCCACAGAATGGAGGAAAACGAAGGAATACAGGATCACTGTGTCTACTGATTAGTCATTCACAGGCACTAACATGAACAAACAGGAGAGATTCAGGCCACTGTGTTTCAGCCATCCATGTCACCCTGTTATTTTTAAATCTTTTCTGATGGCAAGCTTCCAGCTATATCATGGTGTTCACTGGTGGGACACAAGTGAATGAGATGCAGATTAGGAAGGAAAATTCTTTCTCATCTCCAGCTATAGGAGTTTGATCTCAGGAAGGAGAAATGATACGTTTATGCAAATACTCTAAAGCATTTCCACTGCTTGGAGTCCTGCAAACCACAGGCCTTTGCAAGGGTGTCACTTGCTAAAATATGTAGACTGGATTCTCCACGTGCCTGGAAGGTGATGGCAGACACTGTTCTCCACTTCCCATTTCTTTCTTATTCGGGAAGAATGATCTCTGAAGTCCATCCCAAGCAGGCATTTGCCATCTATTGCTTAACACTTGCAGTATTTCTCAGTAGAAAAACACCTTGGACAGTGTTGTGATTTAACCCCATCCAGCTCCCAAACCCCTCACAGTTGCTTGCTCACTCTTCCCCCAGCATGACTGGGGAGAGAATTGGAAGGGTAAAAGCTGGAAAACTTGTCAGTTGAGATTAAGACAGTTTAATGCAGAAAGCAAAAACCGTCACACAAGCAATGCCAAACAAGGAATTCATTCCCTACTTCCCATTCCCAGGCAGGTACTCAACACCTCCAGGACAGCAGGACCCCATCCCACAAAATGGTGACTTGGGAAGACAAACGGCACCACGGCAAATGTCCACCCCTTCCTCCCTCTTCCCTCCCGCTTTCTATCCTGAACATGATGCCATAAGGTCTGGAATATCCCTGGGGTCAGTCGGGGTCACCTGTCCCAGCCGTGTCCCCTCCCAGCCCATTGTGGCCGCAGAGGGTCAGGAAAGGCCTTGGCTGTGGCCCAGCTCAGCAAGAACAAACCCATGTCTATGTTCTCAGCCCCATGTTCAGCACAGCCCCAAACACAGCTCCACCACTGCCCATATAAAGGAAATGGATGCTACCCCAGCCAGAACTAGCCCAGGTGCTCTGAGGTCTCCACACGACCTTGCCTTCTCCAGGCTGAACAGCCCCAGCTCTCTCAGCCTGTCTCCATAGAGAAGGTGCTCCAGTCCTCTTACCAGTTTCACGACCTCTGTACTTTCTCTGACAGTTCTAAGTCCTTGTCATGTTGGGGACACCAGACCTGTGCTCAGGACTCCAGCTGGGGTCTCACAAGGGCAGAGTGAGGGGCAGAGTCACCTCTCTTGATGTGTTGGCCAGAGTCCTTTGGATGCAGCCCAAGACTCCATTGGTTTCTGGGCTGGGAGTGCTCACTGCCAGCACCTGGTGAATTTTGCATCTGCCATCACCCCAAAGTCTTTCTCCACAGGGCCATTCTTGGTAATTTCTCCACCCAGCCTATTGGTGTGTTTGAGATTGCCATGACTCTGGTGTAGGGCCTGGCAGCTCGTTTTGTTGAACTTCATGAGGTTTTCATCGGCCCCACCTCTCAAGCCTGTCAAGGTCCCTGTGGATGGTCCTTCCCTACCCTCCAGTATGAGATGCACCATACAGCTCAGTGTCATCAGCAAACATGCTGCAGGTGCCTCAATCCCTCTGTCCATGTCACTGACATAGATGCTGAACAGTATTGGCTCCAATATGGACTCCACTCATCACTGGTCGTGGACACGCGGACAATGAGCCATTGACCTTAACTCTGCATGCAACCATCCAGACAGTTCTCTGTTGATCAAGTGCTCCATTCATCAAATCCACGTCTCTCCACTTTGGAGACAATGATGTTGTGAGGGACAGTGTCAAATGCTTTGCATAAGTTTAGACAGACAACATCAGTTGCTCTGCTCCATCCACCAATGCTGTAGGCCTGTCATAGAAGGTCACCAAATGTGTCAGGCATGACTTCCCCTTTGTAAAGCCATACTGGCTGTTACCAACCATCTATTTGTTTTACATTTTCTGGGACCTAGGGCTGTACGTGGTACTGGTGGTACTGGGAGCACATCCAGGTGTGGGTGAGGAGCCCTTAGGTGAGCTCAGACCCACAGTGTGGGGAATGGGAGGGGGCTGGGACCTCAAACAGAGTTCAGGGAGCAGCTGGGAATCGGAGATACTATGGAAAAGACATAGGAGAATGGTGGAAAAGAGGGAATGAGATGGTGTGAACCAACAGTTCCCTGGGGTGCTCGGGGTGCAGCTGCTGTCAGATGGCAACAGGGGTGAGGGGATTAATGCTTGGGCTCATTATCCTTCCTCTACCTGCACCAGGTGAGCAGAAGGCAGGGAGGGGAATGAGGGGCATTCCTGGAGTGTCTCCTGTGCATGGGGACTGCCCCAGCTCTGAGGTCGACCATGGAGCTAGGCTCCAAATTTTGATGGTGGCTTATTGAGATTGCTCTTATGTGGACACACACATTTAGAGAGCTAGGAAATTACAGCTTGGCAATTCCTTTCAGGCCTGGATTTCTCCTGTCTCTCAGGTCCATTCCCAGGCTGATAAGCTGACTACAGCTTCAGTTAAGGGAGGCAGTCTCCCAGAGTGATAACTTGGTGAAAAACAGAAGGGAATTCATAATAAAGATTAACACCTGGTGTCTTTCCCACGGGACATCCGGACATGCTGTCCCAAGAGATGTTTGTCCCAGTTGTCCAATGAACTACTGTCCTGTCCTAGCTGCACATAACACACTTTAAATACGGGATGTCCGTACAATAAAGTTGGCCTTTTTTCCCCAAAAGAGGTCCGTGTGTGTTGCTGTCTTTTCTCTCTTTTTGCAGCGCAGTAACCACACTCTTACCTCCTCCAGAGCCCACCTCCCAAAACTGAGTAAGCCCAGGGGTTGTTCCCACACAAGATGTGCCAGGACAGAAAGCTGTTGCTGGCCTTTCCCTCCCCTGGGCAGCCGTCACCTGCACAGCAAACAATGGGCCCAGGTGTTGTACTTCCCAAGGAAAGGCACTGACATCCACTTTAGGAGCCCATCAGCAGAATTTGGCACCACCAGGTTCCCATCTGTGCAAAAAGCAGAGCCTGCAGTAACCACAGATACCCCTCTCCTCTGTCTCTGTCGCCAACCTGGTGCATCTCCTCATCCCTCTCTTGTTCCCAGGATCCCATTTTCTGGCTCTTTCTCTATCTCCATCTCTCCTGCCTCCTGCTTTTCTCTTCTCTCTTTTCTTTCTGTCCTTCTGGAGAATTGGGGCAGGCCCAGGTGGGACCTGTGATGTGGGGGGTGGCCCGACCAATAGTTCCCAGAGAAAAAGCAAGGGGCTTCCAGTTTTTTTCATTAGTGTCTGTGTTGGGTTTGTGTGACCAGGTTTTGGTGGCAGGGGGGCCTACAGGGATGGATTCTGAGAGAAGTTGCCAGAAGCTTCCCTGTGTGCAGCAGAGCCAACACCAGCTGGCTCCAGAATGGACACACCACCGCCAAGGGTGGGTCAAACAGAGATGGCAGTGACACCTCAGTGATAATGGATTCAAGAAGGAAAACGTTTTTGGGCAGATGGAATTGGGTACAGAGAAGAGCAGAGTGAGAATATGTGAGAGGAACAGCTCTGCAGACACTCAGGGCAGTGCAGGAGGGGCAGGAGCTGCTCCAGGTGCCGGAGCTGCGATTCCCCTGCGGCCCCTGCCCCCGACGCTGGAGCAGGGAGATGCATGAAAAGAAGGATGTGAGCCCTTGGGAAGCCCGTGCTGGGAACCCTGTGGATCCCTGGGCAGAGGAGCCCACACTGGAGCAGCTGTGCTGGAGACTTGAGCCCCTGACCCACGCTGGGGCAGGAGAAGGATTCTGACTCTTCTCCCTGAGCAGCAGCGGGAACAAGGTGCGATGAACTGACTGTGATCCCCATTCCCATCGCCCTGTGCCACTGGAAGGAGGAGGGAGAGCCCAGGAAGGAGGGAGGGGGTCGGGGAAGGTGTTTATAGAATCTCTTTTACTTTTCATTTTCCTGCTATTATTTTGATAGGTAATTAATTAAATTCGCATCCCCAGCAGTATGTTTTGTCCGTGAGTGCCGGCCCGATGCACTCGGCACACGGATGGCCCTGCTGGCTGCGAGTGCACTGCTGACCCCGATCCACATGGGCATCGACCGGGACTCCCACGTCCCTTCCCGCAGCTGCTCTCCAGCCTCTTCCTTCCCAGTCTGTACACACAGCCAGGGTGCCTGGAAGAGGAGGAGGAAGAGGAGAAGAAGGGATGAAGAAGGAGGGAAGGTGGACGACGGATAAAGGGCGAGGAGTACTAGTAAAGATTCAGCAGAAAACGAAGTAACCGGAGGAGCAGGAGGGGAAGAGGAGAGAGAAGGGCAGGAGCAGGGGCAGGAAAAGGAGGAGCCACAAGTCCACAGCTCTTTGTATAACTGCAGCACGCCCCACCCCCCCCCCCCCCCGGGAACATCGGTCCTTCCCTCCGCATCCCGCAGGTGACGGGGGAGGGGGAGCTCGCCGCAAATATCACGGGGGGTTCCTGGTAGAGTTTTTCCGGGAAGAGGATCTTTGGATCTTGCGGGACTCCAAAGCTGAGCCGGAAATAGCCCTTGGGATGATACTGGAGGGTCCCCGGCAGGCGGAGTTTTTTGGGGTGGTGCCGGTGGAGGCAGGCCGCGGAGCCCGGCGGCGGGCGGGGGAATGCCGGGTTCCCGGAGCCGCGCTGGGGGTTGGTCTTCCTGCTCGGGCCCCTCCGCCTCCATTGTTAGCCCGCCCTCGTGGCCATCACCGCTGCCGGCGGGGGGATGGGACACCGCTTTTGGGGGCCCTTGGGAAGAGCCGAGGTGTGGCGGGGGGTGGAGCCCCGGAGAGGAGAGGCCGCTGGCGATGCCGGAGCTGGGGTACCGCCAGCGGCCTGGAGGGGGATCGAGCACGGAGAGGGAGAAGCCTGGAGAGGGTGGTACCCTCGGGACGCAGAAACGGAGGATCCCAGAGGGGAGGAACCGCCGGCAGGAAGGGAGGGGATAGGGTGGAGAGGGCTTCCCCAAGCAACGCCAAAGTAGGAAACGCAGGTTGGGGGGGAACTCTGCAATGCCCAGCGTCTTGAAGCAGAGAGTCAAGGGGGAAAACACCCACAGGACTTCCAAAACCCTCGGTGTCCCTGAGCAGGGGGACCACGGAGGAGGGGGGGACGCGACTCACTGGACCCCCAGCAGCCCAAAGAGTGACCACCTCTGGGATTCTCGGGACCCCTGGCATCCCAGAGAGTGAGGATCCCCAATACACAGAGGAACCCCAGCATCCTGTACAAGGGGGACCACTGAAACACCTAAGTGGAGAGACCAGACAGGGGGAACTCCTGAGAGATTTTTCTTTGGCAGAATCTTGATATTTTGAAGATTTTTGGGGGTGAATCTTAGTATTTTTATTGGGGTTTTTTTGCTAAATCTTGGCCGTTTGTAGTTTTGGAGGCTGAATTTCCTATTTTTGTGCCGATTTTGGCTGGTTCTTGGGAGTTTGAGGGCTGTGTCTTAGGGTTTTGGAGGCTTTTATAGAGATAAGATGCCCAGTGATTTCTAGAGATGGACCTGGGCAGGAGGAATCTCCAATCCAGCACACTCACATCTTGTTTTTCCCACCAAAACCAGGATTTTTCATTCCCAAACTTTCGCCGGATGGAGGAGGAGACTGCAATGAAGAGGAAGATGCCCTGGGACACCCAGGCAGGTGAGGAGGAAGTCACTGTCCCTTTCCCCCTCTCTCCTGCTCCATCTCCCAGCCCAGCATCGCCCTTGGCTGCAGGACAACCCCACTGCTGACACCGTCCCACTGAGTATGAATTTGGGGGAGATGTCCTTCCCCTTGCCTCTGGCAGACAGGCAAATCTTTCTTCCTCCTTCATTCTTCCTTCTTTTTGTTTCTCCCTCCCCTTTCTTCTGCTTTTCCCTTTCTCTCCTTGTTCCTTCTTCTTCTCCTTGTTTCTTCTCTTTCCTGTCTCTCCTTCCTCCTTTTTATCCACGCTCCTTCCTCTTACTTCCTTTTCCTCCTTCCTTCCTCTCCTTTCTCCTTCTTGCCCTTCTTCTTTCTTTGTTCCTTCTTCTCCTTCCTCCTCCTTTTTCATTCCTCCCCTTCTTCCTTCTTCTGCCTTCCTCACTTCCTTCGTCTTCCTGTTCCTGCTCCTTCTTCCTTCCTCTCTCTCCTCGAACCTTCCTCTCCTTGTTCCTTTGACTCGCTCATTCCTTCTTCTTCTGTCTCCTTCTTCCTTCCTCTCCTTCTTCCCTCCTTCCCCAGGGAATGACCTGCACACAGAGACCAGGGAAGACAAATCCCCGTGTCAGAACCTTGTGGAAGAGGCCGTTTTAAGCAGCTCCATGGCACAGGAAGTCAGCCAGGAGGAAAAGCCCCAGAGATCCCCCATGAGGCGTGGCTCCAAACCCAGCCCAGGGATCTGTGAGGGGGAAAGACCCTCCCGGTGCCAGGAAGGCAGCCAGAGCTTCAGCCAGAGCTCGGAACTGGTGGTCCATGAGGAGCTTCATGGCAGGGAGAAGCCCCACAAGTGCTTGGAGTGTGGGAAAAGCTTCAGCTGGAGCTCCCACCTGATCCGCCACCAGAAAATCCACACCGGGGAACGTCCCTACACGTGTGGGGAATGTGGGAAGAGCTTCAGCCAGAGCTCCGACCTGGTGGTCCACCAGCGCCTTCATACAGGGGAACGTCCCTACAAGTGCTTCGAATGTGGAAAAAGCTTCAGCAAGAGGTCCAGCCTCACATATCACCAGCGCTTCCACACTGGGGAAAGGCCGCACATTTGCTTGGAATGTGGGAAGGGCTTTATCCAGAGCTCCCACCTCATCAGCCACCGCCGGCTGCACTCAGGAGAACGGCCATACAACTGCTTGGAATGTGGGAAGAGCTTCAACCGCAGCTTCAGCCTTGTCATCCACCAGCGTGTCCACACTGGGGAACGGCCTTATGAGTGTCCCCAGTGTGGGAAGAGGTTCCAGACCAGCTCCGATCTCGTCATGCATCAGCGGATGCACACGGATGAGAGGCCCTTCCGCTGCACTGACTGTGGGAAGGGCTTCATCCGTAGCTCTGACCTAGTCAAGCACTGGCGTGTCCACACTGGGGAGAGGCCCTACAGGTGCTTGAAGTGTGGGAAGAGCTTCACCCAGAGTTCTGCCTTGACCTCACACCAACGGACCCACTGCTAAGAGAAGCCCTACAAGTGCCCCAACTGCAGGAAGAGCATTGGAAGATCCATGTTGGGCTGAGGCCTGGTGGCCCATGTTCCTGGTGATCCGCATTGGAAGACACCTGGCTTGTGGTCTCCACATCCTCCTGGTTCCCCATAGGCACCTGTATGAACACAGGGGCGGGAACATCCATTGGGACACAGACTGATGTGGGAAATTCATTGGGAAGAGCGGACTTGTTGACTTTAGACCCCAAAAAATCTCATCTGCTCCATTCTAATAATTTCTTCCTCTGGCATTAAGCAACACTGGATGATCTTTAGGGTCTTTTCCAACCTAAATAATTCCACTATTCTACTTTTCTCTGGCCCATGGGTGTCTTGCACAGTCAAATGGGGATGGACTGGGGCAAAGAGCCAAAATTTTTTTGAGCACAATGGGGTGAAGACCCCTCTAAAAAAGGCTCTTCCACCACCCAAGCCAATCCCATGGACACTAACACAATGCTGACATGTAAATCTTTGTATTTTGGCCTTGATTTTCTTTTGATTTCTGTTTATCCCTTAAAAACACCCAAGGTTGGGATAAAGAAATGGAATAAAACCTCTAAATCCCCACCATTTTACTGGGATTTTGGGGTTCCGGGGGATATTTGGAGAAATGTGGGAGAGTTTTCTCCATTGCTTTGCAAATCCAAGAGGGATCAATCCATTACATCAGAATGACTCGATCCCACTGGCAATGGCACCATCCCAACCTAAAATAGTTCAATCCGAGCCCATAAGGGTATGATTCCACCTCAAAATGGCTCAATTCCATGCCAAAGATTCCATGATCCCACAGTATCCTCAAAACGCCCAGGAGGGGTGGGATGGGGTGTGATGGGGATTAGGAGAGATGGGATGTGAATTGGAAGGGTTGGGATGTGGTTTGGGGTGAGGAGTGATGTGGATTGGGAGGAGTGGAATGGAGTTTGAAAGAGAGGAATGGGGTTTGGAAGGGGTGGGGTGGAGGAAATCGGGCTTGGAAAGGGGATCTTCTTATCCAAGAGAGGTGAGATTGGGATTGGGAGTGGTGGAATGCGGGTTAGGGGCTGGAATGAATTTTGGGAGGGGTGGGAAGGGATCTGGAATAAGACAGCAAAAGATAGGAGGTGTTAAGGATGGGGGGGACCATGTCCTTGAGGGTGTTTCATGGTATCCCCCAAATCTGTGGAGGTTTTGGGGTATCTGCCATTCCTGAAGAGATTTTGGGATATTTCCCATTTGTGAGGGGATTTTTGGGCACCCCCATCCTGAGCGAGTTTTTGGGGTACCCAGAATCCTGAGTGGGGCTTAGTGGGAGAGGGAGGAGACATGTGGCTCTGGCACTTGCAAGGGGAGCTCCATAGAGAGCGATACAGAGAGCTCATTTTGAGGAGGACCCTGCTGCTCTCTGCTAGTTTTGGGGCATTATAAACGGCTTTTGGGAATATACTGCTCATTTTCGTGGACTGAGGTGACTCCCCCCCTATTTTTGGGGGCTGCGGTGATGCCCCCTCATTATGGGGGGATGAGGTGACCCCATTTTGGAGAGAAACGAGATACGATATTTACAATTTGGAAGTTTCCTTTTTGTTTTAGAAGTTTAATAAAGGATAAAAAAATTAACCAGCGCTGGGGTGCCCTTGGTTTTGGCCAAAAAGCACACAGTGTGATCTATATACTGCTACATTACTGAGGTACGTATATATTCATGTGCTTCATACAGTATTCAGACATTCTTGTGAGTTTTTGATGTTACAGCAACTCTTCGGTTTGTTTTCTTTACAGTCTAACTTTTCTGCACGACATCCTGTGAGATTTGTTTTATTTCTTCTTGTGTCTCCATCCTGTTCCACATCCTCCGATAAGTGGTTAACAATTCTTCTACGGTTTTTCTCTACTGTTCTGCTTTGTTACTGTTTCTTTATCTCTTGGAGAGAGAGATCAGCAGATGTGGGAACCAAAATAATTATTTCCCACCATTCCTTCAGTCACACAGAAGCATTCTAAACATGTTGTGGTTTTGCTAAGGCCTACAATATAGTGCATTCATCACACCTCTATTTCTATAAACTATACGGTACATACTTAAACTAATAGATTATGTTATGCTAACGAACAGCTAGATAGAATTATACATTGTACTATATCCCAATCTTTATGGTCAGTATCAGCATGTATAAGCTAATACATAAATGTGAAAGCCACTATTACATTATTTTTAACAGGAAGCAGTGGGGGCAGGACGGGAAAAGGTGATGTAGGACCTCCCCAAACCAAGAGCGGGGTATGGTGGGCTGAGGATCTGGAGGCGATGGGAAAGAGGTGGAAGGGACCACCTTTGGTCTGGGACCCATGAATGAAGTGGGAGGGATATGGAATCCACAAAACTCAGTGAAAGGGGCACATCAGACTCCCAAATTTAGTGGGAGCTGGGTGGCAGCCCCAAACCAGGTTCTGGGGAAACCTGGAGATTAGAGGTATGATGGGAAGGGGGTGTGAGAGGGTAGAGAAGAGGGTCTTTTGACTTCCAAACTGAGTGTGAAGGGGCTGAGCTCCCAACACCGAGCGGGGGGGGGGGGTTGGGAACACCCTGAAACTAAGACGTAGGGGGAGCTGGGGATTGCAGGGACAATGGGAAACGAATGGGAGAATGAGGAAAATTGGGGGTGGGACAGTGGGCAGGGACATCCCGTGGGAGTTCTCTACCCGGATGCTCTGCCTGGAGTGGGGTCAAACAACAGGAGCAATGCCCTGTTTGCAAACATGCCATCAGTAAATGAAGAAGGGGGTTTCCACTGCTTTTGGCATTGAACGACAGGACACCTGTTAAAATTCTGGGATAAAGGAACAACCAAGGGGTTCTGCTGATAGCTTATCCAAAGCTGCTGAGCTGGCACATCTGACTGACAGTGCAGGCCTTCAGACTGTAACAGCCCCATCCCAAATTTTAACTGCAGAGTCTCCTGACATATCCATTCTTAGGGAGAGACGGATGTGAAGATTCTTCCCTGGAATAAGGATACCCCTCAAGGACTAGAGCTCCCAGTGCTGTGCACGGTGGGGACACAAGGACCCCCCGACTACACAGCCCAGCTGCTTTTGGAGTGTCAGTGCCTGTTTGGTGCTGGGGATTATGTGTGAGGGTGGGCTGGGTAACATGAAAACTCTTTAATTCTGTCATTTCACTATTTGAAAGCAGCTTTATTTTGGTGCCATGTGTGTGCAGGGTATGTCTCCCCCTATTACACACACTCAGCTATCTCTCATCTTTATTTGTATTTATATAACTAATACATATTAATACATTTCCCAAACTCATGCATATATGCTAAACATTCCCCTCAAATTCTTTTACATATTTCAGTCACTTCTTGGAACTCATTTACATTAGAGTAGGGGCCATTTTAAGGGTCTCTGGTAGTCACCTGGAGAACATCTAATTCCTCAAATTATGCCTGTTTATCACAGGCCTCAAAAAACCAACTTCTTCTTGGATGCATCCGAGCTCTGAATATGGATCCCCAGGTCTCTGTACAATGTAGGTCACTGTGGATCATCCAATGTGGGTCCTCTGGTGGGTGAAGACATTGGAGCAATAAACAAAGCTCTTCCCCCAGCTGGGGCACTCGCAGGGCTTCCTTTATTGGTGGGTGCATTTGTGTGAAGTCAAGACAGAGCTGCAGAAGTTCCTCCCACACTCCCAACACTCATAGGCTTTCTCCCAACTGTGCATGTCTTGGAGTGTGACAAGATCGGAGCTACAGCTGAAGCTCTTCCTACAGCTGGTACAGTGGAAGGACCTCTACTCTGTGTGTGTTCTCTGATGCCTGATGAGATTTGAGCAATTCTGAAACCTCTTCCCACACTCAGGACACTCATAAGGCTGTTTCCCAGTGTAGGGCCATTCCCCATTGTGCAGGCACTGGTGGGTGATCAGGTTGGAGACATCAGTGAAATTCCTCCCTCATTCCTCACACTGGTAGGGTGATTCTCCTGTGTGGATCATCTGGTAGTGAATTAGGCAGGGGCGCCATCTAAAGATCTTTCTGCATTTCCCCACAGTTGTAGGGCTGTTTCCAAGTGTGCAGTGAGTGATAAGGCTGGAACTCCAGCTGAAGCTCTTCCCACATTCCAAGCATGTGTATGGCTTCTCCCCAGTGTGCAGGTGCTGGTGGGTGATGAGGAACTCTCTTTCCTCCTGGCAGCTTCCTGGGCTGGGTTTGCAGCCCCTCCTCATGTGGGATCTCTGGGGCTTCTCCTCCCCATAGGATTCCTTATCCATGAAGCCGCTCAAAACAGCCTCTTCCATGAGGTTCTGCTGGGGGAGTTTGTCCTCTTTGGTCTCGGCCCACAGCTAATTGTCAGGGGAAGGAAGGAAGGAAGGAAGGAAGGAAGGAAGGAAGGAAGGAAGGAAGGAAGGAAG